TTTCCCCCCCCCCCCCCCTTTATGACCGGGTCCCTTACTGTTTTTTCCATAAATCAACTTTCATGTGCAATACTGGAATATGCCTTGTAACCCATTGAGCGCAGTTAGTGTTCTCCCCTTCGTGAGCAAAGTCATCTGGCATTTTAAATTAAATCTTTTCCATCAGGTACACTACAGGTGTACTGCATACATGTACAGAAACATACGCGAATACACACACACATACATAATACAATGACTTAATAAATTAAGTTGATGGTTGGGTATATGAGACAAAATATCAATAACACAAATAACAATTAAACCATGGAGACTAAGATCTATTGCATCTCAGGCAAATTGTTTTAAAAGTTTGTGCATCTCCACAATTATATGTGTTCTTTGCAGTACAATAGTACTCTCGCATTACAGACTTGAATGAGTTGAAGTTCTCCATACTCAAATCAAGTATGTCTGTCAATGTGTTGATTTCATGTTCTGATGGTTCTTATCCAGAACGATCTTTGGTAGGTTGTTGTTTTGCAATAAAGTAGGATGGTTTGCCCCATCCTATGCTTTCCCCTTGACAAGTAAAATTGTCTGGCATTAAACAGACTAAATATTATAAAGTGAGGGATTCAACTACCCGTACTTGAAAAATACAAGCAATTTGTAGCTTTCTAATAATTTATCTCTTTGTAAATGCAAGATTATTTTAGATAAATTTTATATTTTACTGAATCAGGGTAATCAATAAATATGATAAACCATTAACAACATGCTATAATATATGGTTGAATTGCATGCCATTAAAACGCAGCATCAGATATTTCTGTTACTTTGGTACAATAAAATGTAGAGTACCAATTGTCGAGGAGAGTGTCTTGGGCATTACTGGATTAACCAAACTGATCTGCTGATATCTCTCTTTGTAATTCATCAACATATACGGTCCCTTGTTATTTGTTAATCTGTTAACACCCAGCAATTTCCCCCTGATGAGTATAATTGCCTGGCATAATTTTACACTGAATACAATATTATGTTTACTGTGTTTGGAATTACTATTGTCTGCGTGACTTTTGTATTTTGCATCAGTCCTTAATTTCTGGCATAAATATCTTTTACACTCGTGAATAAAACCAATCATTGTCAGTGATAAAAATATAAATGTGCTCAATGTCTACACTGTCTAGATGATTTCACTCATGCTCAATGGGTTAAACCAATATACTTCTGTCTAGAAATTTATCAAAATTGCCACCCACGAAACCTGTCAACTCATTCTAGATAAATTATTCTAAGTTTGAACTTTATAACTTAATATATGTAGTCATGAAGCAAGAGCAGCAAGATATAATGTTCGAGACAGAGGAGATGGCATTGAGGTAAACAAATAAACTTCATACAACTATCATAATAATGTTCTATGGTACTGTAATTAGTTAACATGAAAAGCTTTCTATTTTGTAGTAATCTTGTGTATTTTTTAAATTTACCATACATGTTCTCTTTTATATATTTTAGTTTGACAACTTACTAAGCGAGGTAAGAGACAGCCATAAAATATTTGTACACATTTCTCAAACTCATTGATAATCCATCACAGACTATTAATTGTTGTCTAAGGGAAGCCTCACATATCGATTTTTTCCACGAGAAACGTCATATGTTCGGGTGGGGGTTTGCCGCTGTGACGTTTCTCTGCAAACATCATGGAAAAATTCGATAGTTTTTTCGAAAACCTTAACTTTCGAAATCATCTTTTCAGAATATAAAAAAAGAAAACTATAGATACAAATACCAGTCTATACATTCGTAATACCATACCGTATGCATTAATTTTATAATATTACGCCTTCCTTGCATTGAAAACACTCAATTCTCAAATTTCAAGAAAAACGCAAGAAAAATTATCAATATTTGATGCAAAAAAGTTGTTTTGAAAAACGTTGGAAATTTTGAAGTTCATATATATTAATAAAAAAAAGATGTCAGCAGATATGTCATCCTTGCGGAAGCATCGCCAATAGCCGACCGTAGTAAATAGTAGAAAATTACCTTATGTGTACTATAAGAACAAAATATCGATAACTATGTGTGGGGGGGGGGGGGGGGTCTCCAGAGAAACGAACATATGACGTCTCTCATGGACAAAATCGATATGTGAGGCTTCCCTAAGTTGATACATGCCATAATAATTGGCCATAAATGATCCCAACTACTGTATGTCTATAGCCTTGAATTTCTCTTGAAATAGAAGTCCGTTTGAGAAATACTGTACCTGTAAGGCTGTAATATACAAATTAAATAATTGTGGTAAAATTACGATCTCAAATGGTCTGCGCCAGTGCATAGTACAAGGAGAACTTAGACATTTCGAGCAAAGGCCATGATACTAACTTCCGAAGGGTGTCTGCTTGAACCAGTTGACAACTTTGGAGTTTTCCTTGTATTAAATTTCATGCAGTTGTTAGAACTCAGTTGTATACAACGGTTGTATCCCTATCAATCTTTATCAAGCTTTCTGATAAACTATGCATTTTATTCCAGGATGAATATGAAATACAAACAAAACCAAGGCAGTGAGTATAATGACTTTGTTTAAATTTTGCTTCCCATCTTGATACTGCAGGGTTTTGTAATGTTACACTTTCTCCCATGAGTCCAGTGAAACCACACAAGTTTTTCCAGTGTTTTGCGAGTTTGGTCAAATGCAACTTAAGCAGGAAGTAAATTTTAGCGATAAAATAATAAAATTGTGAACATTTACAAAATGGTATTTTTCTACCAAATTGTATTGGTTTTCAAGAAAATTCGTACTGAGGAAAAAAGTCATTAATTGTACAATTTTGATCAATTCTAGGAAAGTTGTTACGGATGAGGAAGCGACTTTTATCAACCAAAAAAGATATGATGATCTGGCACAGAAACAGAAGTCAATCAATGCGCAAATTGATCGAAAGGTAAATAGAAAAACAATCCACTGGTTTTGTATGTACTATATACATATGATGCAACGTTTTGAAAAATTGAACAAACTTCGAAGTTTGTTCTATTATCAATTTACATTTACATAATTATATAGAGTAGCTGAATTATACACAATTGTAGACGCCAGCCAACTCTTCGCGCCCTACATGCATGCACTGACACCCAACATTCAACACTTTAAAATAAAAAAGCATCCATTGGATTCTCTATGAATTGATAACATTCTATTTCCGTTTAAACAAACGCATATACTAATGGTCATGTTTGGTAGGAGTCCCAGTGTGTCCAGTATACCATGTGTAGGCAATCTGAGTGTGGAGGCAACCACTTTTCAAATGGAGCAAGGCTATGCTGGTGCTATTAACTTCAGAGCTACAGTAGTTTAGATCCACATGATATTTTCGAGTTGTTTTTATATTTTTGTATTGCTGTATAATATTGCAGGTTAAGATAGCAAGCTCCAGTGATGTACTATACATGATTGTAGCCTTAGACTATGGAGGCACCGTCGCTCCAGGGCGCCCTAACTTCTGCAGCCATGGACAAACGAATCAGATTTCCATTCTGTTTTGGCATGTTTTGTCGCTACAGTAAATAATCATGTTCTTAAATACGCTTATGCAAGGGTGTGTTGCCTACAACATTTTTGTAGTTCGCTATAACTACAGCTACTTCAAAAATATGTAGTCAGCTACAACTACTGCTACTTTTGAACAAAAGTAGTTCGCTACTGACTACCGCTACTGCTTAAAAAATGTAGCGAACTATTTCGCTATTTCGCTACGCTATATTTTTTAGTTTTACGGTATTTGGAGCATCCACTAGCTCAGGCTGTAATATAACCAATAACAAATCGACTTACGAGTAGCAACAGTAAACAAAAAGGGTCAAAGCAACATTTTGGTAAGCACTACAGTGTTCAGGAGTGCCACTTTTCATTGCGCTAAAATAATCTTTACTGTATAAAATAATCTTTTTAGCAAACCGTGTCTTAATATCATTCTATTCTATGAACGGTTGCTAACAATTTTAAAAAGTAGCGAATAGCGATTCGCTGTTTGAAAAGTAGTAAACTACTTGGCTACTTTTAGGCAAAATGTAATTCGCTATAACTACAACTATTGCTTTAAAAAAGTAGTCAAAAACTACTGGCTACTTGAAAATTATAGTTCGCTACAGTAGCGAACTACAACTACTTCGCTACTACCCACCCTTGCGCTTATATAGCACAAAGTTGGTTTAGGTGGGAAAACTTTGAAATAACAAAATGTCTTTTTGTGATGTTGTCTCGGAGTGTGTCCACACCGGGCAAGCTGTTTATTTTGACTGCGGTGAAAATCGAACCCGTGACGTTTGGTCCAATGCTCTACCAACTGAGCTACGAGGTCATGTTGGTTCGATTGGGCGATGATTTCCACAGCGGTCAAACAGACACCAGAAACAGAAAACTGAACAAAATGTCGTTTGAAACTATTTGCAATTAAATTTACATGTATTGTAAGCAACATCATGGCCACGAATCACGGACACGATTTAGTACAAATTTGCATATCACGTTGAGATATGGCTTCAACTTGAACTATTCGCGACGTTGTTAATCGCATATACAGGTATAATCTAAAAATAAAGTAGATCGTGTGCAAGTTGCTTTAATCACTGGTTGCAAAACAAAGTTGTTGCCTAATTTAAGGTATTGCCTATTCTGCATTTTCAACATTTGTACAGAGGTGTACGACATTTGTCTGTTTAACTGTGCATTGTTTTTAAGAATACTGCACTACTGCCACTGGGAACAAACGAAAGTGCAGAAACTTAAACAAAGCAAACATTATACACTAAATATTTCTGCAAACTATGTTTTGCAACCATGCAGTAATTGAGGCAAATTGCAAACGACCTACATATATACCGCGTATTCTCTGATTTTGCGATTTACACACATCTTGTAATTTACTGTTTACTGGAGAAGCCGTATTACAACGGGTTATACATCGATGATATGCAAATTAGGAAGGAAGTAGAATACTCATGTCCGTGATTTCTGGCCATGTTTGCAACGATTTTATTCACCATACGGACTCTATCATCAGCTTAGCATAAATTGCGTTAATAAACATTTTTTGTACTTTTAGTTACAAATGCACGAGGAGGATCTACGCCAGCAAGAGGAGGTGAGTGCAACTACTTTGAAATTGTATTGATCTGAAATAAAAGTATTTGGAAATTTACGTTCGAACGTTTCAGCTACAAATGCCCATCGAGTATTGGTTCTGTCGATCGATATGCCAAACATTGCGGTATTTACCCAATTTTCTACTGGCATCACTGTTTAACTGGAAAGCATAACGGACAACGGACAGTATACTGAGAAGTAATATACTAATAATCTCTTCAGTATACTGTACTACAGTATACTGTATATATACTTCAGGCAACTCACACAAAAAATTGAACTTTCCATTAATATGGGTTTTTGAATGCAAAAACTGAACTATTACAATTATTGGTTATTATAGATTTCTCGCATGGTAAATTAGTAAAAACCATATGATGTTTAATATTTGACATGGTACTTTATTTTTTCCTGTGCACAGGAAAGTACCATTAATGATGAATATTAAACATCATGGTTTTTACCAATTTACCACATGGGAACTTACGAAATCTATAATATAATAACTTCGTAATAGTTTAGCTTTTACATTTGATATCATGCAGTACATGGTAAATCCTTACGAACCTTTCAAAAACGTCATGCATCCCGTCCTCTTCGCCTAGGAGTTCTATGCGGCCAAACGCGAGGCTTCGCGAGCAGCGAGGCAAGAAAAAACCAAACATGAAAAGGGAAGTAGTAAAAACAAAACAGATGAAAATTTGAAGAAAATTCTTGACGATTCTGCTTTTGCATCCTGGTTGTCTGATGAAGATGATGAACTTGACGAGTAAGTTTAAAAGCATCAATTATATTCTAACTTGTTTAATTAAATTTAATTTGCTTTGCGTCAAGGCGTTCGTTCCGCAAGCCATGCAGATCAGCCGAGATTTTCATTTATAGTGAAAAACGTACAGTATGTTTACAGTGGAAGCTCTACTAAATGCGATCCAGAAAACTGCGTCTGACAGGGTGCGATAATTCAATATGTTTTAGTCGTACCTGACTGGCACTCCAATGATTATTGCCACGTACTTGAGCTGGTACAAACTTAAGACTCAAGGTGTACCTACAGTACTCTTTAAATCTAGATTGGGATTTTTAGGATTCGGATTTTTTGGAATTGTTAAACAATTGAAACAAATTGTGAGAATCGGATGAACTTCCTGTTTCTATAATCCACTGCTGGGTGTGGACATACTACACCTTGCGCTCGGGTCAAGGTACATGCTAGAAGACCAGAATCTCAAAAGGAACGTTGAATCCTAATCAAGTTTCAGATTGAATCCGAAAAATCCATATGTTGTGGATTTATCACATTCGAATCTATTTTAAGACTTTGTTAAATGAAACTGAAAATCGATAAACGGATTTGAAGATCCAAATCTGGATTGCACTACTCAACAAAATGTTAGCTGACTTAATGTAAATATGAGAGTGTTGTTTACTGTAGTTTTGAGTAAGTCACCATTTATTAGCTACTTTAAGTTAATTAAAATACAAAACAATAGATACTCCGAAAATTGAAAGCATTTTGAAAATCGGAGTATCTATTGTTTTGTATTTTATCAAAATACCCAGTGGTTCTCGTAATTTAAGTTAATTAAGTTATACTATTTTCTTCCACTTTAGTCACGATCTTGATACTCAAGAATTCGAAGAGTTTTTACAAAAAGTGAGACAGACTACTTACCCCGGAGGTCCTGCTGGTAAGTCATTGACATTCGGGAAAACTTTAGAACGGGGAGTGGGTAATCAACGGGGAGTGACCGGGAATCGATGTTTTGTTATATAGATTTTAACTCATCACTCACTTTTCTAATCATAATGAACCAAACACAAAGAAGGTCGTACCTTAAAATCTGCAGTTGACAGTTGGTCCAACTCCTATTTATAGCCGGGGGTCGCACCGAAGATATATGTTTTTCTTGGTAAAACTTTGCTGATCTAACCATTAGAAAGTTAACTTTTTTTACACAACCTCAAATATCAATTAAAAAATAAATACTCACCGCTGGCCAAAATCGTTACAAATTAAGGGATACCATTTAGTTGCCACACATATGACATATCCTTTACCACTTTTGTGACATGAGTTTGATTTTTTTTCTGTTTTGGTGTCGTGTACTCAGGTGAATATGATGTTTGTAATGTTACTCTGAGCGTATATCCACACCGGGCGGGCTTGAAAAATATGCCCGGCCACGGTGGGAATCGAACCTACGACCTTTGAAATACTAGCCCAATGCTCTGCCAACTGAGCTACGCGGTCTGGTCGGTCAGGCCAACTGAGCTACGCGGTTAGGTCGGTTCGCGGGCAGGTCGGTTTGTGCAATTTTCTGCAGTCTAAATTTGATGTTGTCTTGGAAAATGATAGTGACTCTGATTGGAAAATGATACAAATTGGAAAATGATAGTGACTCTGATTGATTTACATATTGTATATTGACACATGACTGTTGACATTGCTTTTTAGTCTTTGGAAATGACAATAAATTTTTATTACCCAACTCTTGAGTTGTTTTGTTTTTCATTTACCCAACAAAAATCTCACTCAAAGTTTTGTTTACCGAAAACTTTTCTCTTCGGTGCCACCCCTCGCCATAAATAATGACCCACAACCGCTTCTGACCTGCTTCTGCTTCTGTCTGGTTAATAAATGTGTAAAACTCAAATTCGAAATTTCCATCTAATTCATATTTGGTAATTTACTGTAGATTTTGCCGATGGTGAAAGTAGTAAATCTTCCTCCAACGCAGCATTTGACGAGTCGCTTGCAAACGACGTCCAAGCAACTAAACTTGCTGAACAATCATTGGACGCTCTAGACAGATGGTCCCCAACGTTTGATGACGATTAGATTAGGTTAGTTTAGAAATTGAAATCTCGATATTAAGTAGAATTATTGTGATTAATATAATAAATTATATTGACTGATGATGTACACAAAAATTCCAATCATGGTATTTTGATACGAGTGAAACCTACAAAATAAAATTTGTGCATATAATTTGGTCAACAGAATAGATGATTCCAGCTGCCTATACACTAAATTTTGATCTAGGCAAGAAGAACAACAAAATATAACCCTACGAAATTTGCAAATTTTGTATTAAATTGTATTATGCACGGGAAAATGCACCACCAGCTTTCGGCCCAAATGTGGTACATTTTCCCGCGCGTATTGTAATACAAATTAAGAGGAGAATCTTTTGTATGTCACGTATACGCGCTCAAAACTAATGAATATGCTTTTGTTACTATATTCAATTTTTTACATTTTTGATACGTTTCTCAAGCGGCAAACAAACTTAAAAAGTATGTTTGATGCTTTATCTGTAAATTTATGCTAAAATGAAGAGATTTTAGATGGTACGCCAAAGAGAAAAATTGTGTCTGAAGTTCAGTACGTTTTGTTTACATTGCTGTATAAATATGGCGTCAATTTTACAATATCAATGATAAATGTATTTAAATTGACAATTTTTTACTATTATTTATGTTTCTCAACCGGCAGATACGTTTAAAAAGGTTGCTAACTCTATAAACAAGAGAATAAATCTAAAACAAAGTAATTTTGAGAGGAACACCAAAAAGATTTTAGGTTTTTAACACTTTTCTTTGCAAATATGTGACATTGAAAAAATGCATGCCTCTTAACACAAAATTTCTCAGGGCTATATTTTCCGTATTTTACAACATTTCGCGGCCAAACTTTGTCATTTTACTAATTTTAACATGCTTTTTCGAGCTGTGGTGAAGGATTTTGTTTTTCTTGTCTAGATCAAAATTTAGTCTACAGGGTGTATAAAAAAAAACTGAACAGATTTAAAATTGCTCTCAATTTCGCAAAACAGCTATTTGTATCTGGTTTTTTATATATATATAGCTTCTTTGGGTACTTAAATTGTAAAATAATGAAAAAAATTTCTCGAACTCAAATTTTGTGAACCAGGGGGGTGTGTCTTTTCCAACAAACTAAAAAGGGCTCGCGCACAAAATTTAAAAGCTGCAATCATATTTTGAGTTAACAGATGGAAAATTTGTCGGGATTTTAATTACTGTACAAAATTTCAGACAATTTGGTTTAGTTTAAGCCCTTAACTATTCACGCAAAGTTACAATTTTCCCGAAAAATCAGCTATTTGCATGCTTAATTAATGCATTTGCCTAATTTGCATATGTCGGCAATATGCAAATTAGGTAAAGGCATTAATTAAGCATGCGAAAGGCTGACTTTTTAGAACAAAATGAATAGTTAAAGGGCTTAAACTAAACCAAATTGTCTGAAATTTTGTACAGTAATTAAAAACCCGACAAATTTTCAATCTATTAACTCAAAATATGATTACAGCTTTTAAATTTTGTGCGCGAGCCATTTTTAGCTTGTTGGAAAAGACACACCCCCCTGGTTCACAAAATTTGAGTTCGAGAAATTTTTTTCATTATTTTACATTATAAGTACCCAAAGAAGCTATATATATAAAAAAACAGATACAAATAGGTGTTTTGCGAAATTGAGAGCAATTTTAAATCTGTTCAGTTTTTTTTTTATACACCCTGTATAGCTGGAATCATCCATTGTCTGGGGTTGTAGCCTTTATTAAGCCATGTTAAGCACTTAAGCCCTGTACAGACGGGCAATTTTTCCTTGACCAATTTTATTTGCTCGTGTGTACGGCAAAAAATGGACAAGTTTTCCTTGCCAAGGAAATTGTTCTATAACTAGTCGTGCCTGCTTTTGGACAAGGAAATTTTTTTCGGAAAACTAGACAACAAGTGTACAGGAAATATTTCTCTGGTATTGGCAAACAAAAGGTGGTTTTAGATAAATGTTTAACAATGCACGCGAGCAACAGAACTTGTCAAGGAATATTTGCCAAAATTGACCAAACCTGCCAAAGCTAGCCGATGGATGCCCCAGGGATATTTTCAAGCACTTTATAGTCTACTACCGTTTTTCAGAAGAAGACTGAGTTTCTTTTGGCTTTTTGGGGGGAGGACTTTGAAATATTTTGTGGTCAGGGGTGCACATTCCAATAAAATTTGGAGGAGTGTAAAAGTTTTTACGTGTTTACATTTTGGAAGGGGGAGTTGCACGAGGCGTCACCATGGTTGGCGCCGAGCGGAAAAATTTTGAAACTTTGAAGTCTCTAGATGATCGGAAATGGCATTTTCAGACTCTAGTTTGGCCATCAGCTGGCTGTAGAGCACAGAAGGAAGTTGATTCAGGCAGTGTATAATGGCAATTAGCAATTCTGTAACCTTACTTATTAATTTTTGGACACTGTACAAAAAATAAATCTCACGGAAACAATAATTTTGCGTAATGCCTATCGGGACCGACAAATGGTTCATTTGGGACCGACGTTTTGGACTATTTCTCAAAATTATGGGGGTGTCACACCCCTTCACACCCTTGTTTGTGGTACACATTTCTGGTGTGCATGGGCACGAGTATTCTTCTACGAGATTTTGTCCCAGATGTTCGACAGCTTTTTGAACAAAATTGTATAAAAAAACAGGTTTTTAATGGAACATTTACATTTAAAAAATCAAATTGTGAAAAAAAAATCATTGTGGAGGAAGATTGAGTTTCAAAACTTAATTTGAAGATTGAGTATTTACTACCGTACAACGGTAGTAAAATAGTGCTTGAAAATATCCCTGGTGCCCCTAAGTGTAATAGGATTGTTACTAATATATGTTGATGCGTTTAGAGTTTGCTCATTCCAACTTTAATTTTGACAACTCAGAACATGTGTATGACAAAACAAATCTTAATAAATGCGGCTGATTATTTATGACATAATTAATATTAAAGATGCTGTAAAGTCCGTGCTGCGTACAAGTTCTGCGCAGGCCTACATTCCAATGGTCGGGTCCCGACCATTGGAATATTATTAATATTTTGCACCTTCCGAACTTTCTTGAAATGAATCTCTAGTCTGTATTCATTTACAAGCATAGCGAACCAGAACTTGTGGGACTTTTATGGATTTGAAAAGATATTAAAAAGTTAGTTAAGACGAGATTTTTTGTATGTTACGTAACACGCGCTCAAAACTAATGCGTATAATATATCACTTGAGGTTATGACTAAATTCAAAAATTTTATTTTTCGATACTTTTCTCAATCGGCAAACAAACTTAAAAAGTATGTTTAGTGCTTTATCTGTAAAATAATGCTAGAATGAAGAGATTTTAGATGATACGCCAAAGAGAAAATGATGTCTGAAGTTCAGTACGTTTTGCTTATTTGGCAGTAAATATGGCGTTAATTTTAAAGCATCATTGATAATTGTATTTTAATTGACAATTTTTACCTATTATTTTATGTTTCTCAACCGGCAGATGCATTTAAAAAGGTTGCTAACTCTATAAACAACAGAATAAAGCTAGAACAAAGTAATCTTGAGAGGAACGCCAAAAAGATTTTAGGTTTTGAACACTTTTCATTGGACAAATGTGACATTGAAAAAAATTGCCTCTTAATAAGTTCAAAAGATTTTTTTGATTTAATGTAATAGTTTTGAGGATACAGGCCTTTAAACAACGGACTGTTCCTGAGTCCCAGCTTCCAGGGGTCTAAACACGGCTATAGAATTTGGCCTTTTTCGAAACTGTCCATTGTGCATAGGAGCCTGGGACTCAGGAACTGTAGGTACTTTAGAGGCCTGTATTTTCAAAATTATTCCACTAAATCGAAAATCTTTTGAACTTATTAACTAACTTTTTACGCTCTTTTCAAATCCAAAAGGTCCCACAAGTGATATAGACACTTTAATATATATCTAATCATATTTTACAACTGTAGCACTGAGTTCAAAATGTAAACAAAGCGTTTGTTTACATTACGGACTTTACAGTATCTTTATAGCAGACGAGTAATTTAATTATAAATGTGTATTTAATCATACATACCGGAAAAAATATTGTAAAATACAGTAAATATATTCATAAACTTAAAAAGGTGTATGTTTTACTTTATTCTCCATATATATAATAATAATTAAATATCTGGATCTAGATATTTAATAATAATTAAATATCTGGATCTCGAGCACTCGTAATGCATAACATCAATTTATACAGTATGACGCGTAGATTCTGAAAGATTTACTCGATATTCACGTCTGAAAGTTTATACATTTGAAAACAACACTGTGTCGCTCCTTCCTAGCATTGTCACGTCATCGTGATCATGCGCACTTGCGATGCTAAATCGGGTGTTCCTTTACACAACATGAGAAGCGAATGTTATAAAAAATTACAAAAATCCACAATAACGACAAGGATTCCTAGAAATTTTTGTAAACTTGGAAAAAGGAAAAAAGAATATTTAAATAACACAACTGAAATTGTCTCTATAACCTTCAAAGCACTGACTAAGTACAATAAATCACTGCTAACATAAATCGTATACACCCCCGGAAAGTTTACACTATGACTGAATGAACGAATGAATGATTCGTTTGAATTTTCCCCACTGCTCACAGTACTGTAAAGTTTCGAGGAAACTTTGCAGTATTGTGATGAGTGGGAGACAAATTTGGGGGGACAAAGGTCTTTTTTTTAAACTGTCGCCAGCTGCTTGTACGATCCCTGGGTACGAAATTAACTTACGACAGTGTCCTTCAGATACAACCATATGGAAACAATTATGCATAAAAATCATTCAGAGGGGGGGATGGGGGGGAGTGTATTTTCGTGAGCCGTGAATGGTCAATATTTGTTCGCGTGAAACGTGAAATGCTTGATTTTAGTGTCGTGAAATGTGATTTCTTCTACAGTCGTGAGGCGTGATTGTTGATAAAAATGCTCCGTGAAATGAGAATTAAGGATGTCTGCTTCGTGAACTGTGATTTTGCTTTGTTTATTTCGATCTATTTTATATTAGTCATAATAAACATAATACGCGATAATCAAATTTATATGATCTCACTCGATTGCACAAGAGTAAAAACTTCGGAGACCTTTTGCAAGGTTCCTGACGCTGAGGACAAGGTTCCTGACGCTGAGGACAAGGTTCCTGACGGTGAGGACAAGGTTCCTGACGGTGAGGACAAGGTTCCTGACAGTGAGGACAAGGTTCCTAACGGTGAGGACAAGGTTCCTGACGCTGAGGACAAGGTTCCTGACGCTGAGGACAAGGTTCCTGACGCTGAGGACAAGGTTCCTGACGCTGAGAACAAGGTTCCTGGCGCTGTGGAAAAGGTTCCTGACGCTGAGGACAAGGTTCATGACGCTGAAGACA